ATATATATATATAAAGAAAGAGAGAGAGAGAGAAAAAATATTAAACTAAAAAAATGCTCTTGCACGTGCATATCGAGTAATCTTGTATAAATTATTATATAATCTGCATTATAGAAATAGGATACTATATAATTCGATAATTATGCAAGCATACAAGGATTGGTCAAAGTATCGCTGATTGGATGCTCGTTTTGATCATGACGCTTAAGAATGTATAGATGAATTTATCTGTGCACTCTATTAACTGTAACATATTTTTAGAAAATAACTCGTGTACGAAACAACGACGATGTTTTTTTCTGATCAACATACGATTGACCATCCTTGATTGAAAAAAATCCCACCAATGACCTATCATATTAGTTAAATCTATTTTTGGCCACATCCAAAGATACTACTCGAATTATATTCATGATTCAGAGAGATATTTTCTTGCATACTTGCGACAAATGTATATGTATATATATAAATATATAAACATATACACACATATACATATAAGCGAAGGAAAGAATGTGAACTATCATTAATATTTACATGCAACAAATATATCGCTGTTGCACAGCATAAACTGTAAATAATTTATAGAGTTACAAATATGTATACATATACTATATATATATATATATATATACACACACACACATATATATATATATATATGTTATATGCATATATATGTAACGAACTCTAGAAATTAAACTAACGAACGCTCTAGAATTAAACTAAAACTAAAGCTCATAATTACAAAGTTATGGGTTCTTTACACGCTGCAGTCTCGCTGAGATTTCACGCAATTAATGTATTCATCAAGGAATAATTATGCATCGTTAGATAGACTAATTAATATATTGATTATCTGAAACAGAGAATCCTTATTGATGTATAAAGAAACGCGTCTCGTCTGCTACAGGTAGTTTGTATAAGTGGATTCAAGCGTTTAGTTTAATGGAACTGACTGTGCAGGATAGTACTTAGGAAACACGTTAAGTAATGCAAAAGTAATTTCGGGCCGTCGTGTCTCGCGCGATGTGTTGTCAAAGCGCAAGCGATTTGCGAGCGTTTCTCGTATGTATGATGTGTGTGTGTGTGTGTGTGTGTGTGTGTGTGTGTGTGTGTGTGTGTGTGTGTGTGTGTGAAAGTTACATGTATGTAACTAATTTCATTATGGCGATTCATTGTGACGATCATTATTGGATCGATGTAATTAATGTTTGAGAGAGAATATATGCCTACAGACGTGCACGCAATAAATGTATATGCGTATGTGTGCATTATTACACATGTAAAAAAAATATCTATATGTACACATTGTACACATATAGACCGAGAAACTCGTTGTAAATCGTGTTGAGTGGCAAATGTACGCGTAACATCGCGTGCATTGTGTATATAGGACATCGTAACGATTATAATTAATTATAAATCGCGCGCGGTCGTTGGTAAAGAAAAATTGAAAAAGATTAAAGAGAAGAACAAGAATAATTGTTGCTATATCGATAATGAAAACCAACAGTGCTATTACACTATTCGCCACCGCTGCTCTGCTATTACTAATTACTACCACCTATCACGATTACAATATTACCGTAGTACAATTTACATGATCGCACGTTACTTACGTTTCGTTTTATAATCGTGCGGAGACGAAGAAGAAGAAAAAGAAGAAGAAAAGAAGAAGAAGAAGAAGCATACGTTTTCCGTAGTCTCAATTAAACGTGACTGTGGTATGTATGTATACACACGGCCATCTGCGTTCCCACGTATGCGAAAGCCGCATGTATTCACGCGTGCACGCGCACCGTGTCGAAAATCCCGCGCAGAGAGTTACACTATATATTATTAGATTATATAAATAGCGTCGACAAATGCGCGTGTGCTCGCGTGACATTTTGCACGCGTACGTTCGATGTGTAGGTGGAACGAACTTTACGCGGTGGATATACAATAGCATGTGTGCGACGTGCGCGCAATGCGTGTGCACGCACACTCACACGCAGAGAAATATTGTGGCGATACAACTGGGAGGATATGTGTTTAATAATTGAATATCGATATTATCGAATATTATCGGACGCGACAATATTCGGTATCGATATTCCGACTGATTCTGAGAATTGAACACGAATTGAATCGGTAATCTTAGAGAGAATGTTACTCCAAATCTTTATTTTCCGAGATATAAGGTAGACACTTGAAGAGAATTGAAACGACCGTATAGGGACGTTTTCTTAGCTTATACTGTTATATTGAATCATACCGACGGTTGAAAGAACGTCTTTTTTATACTTGAGTGCATGTCTGTATAAAGTGCTACATAGTGAACACAGATTTTTGACATTTTTGGAGTAAAACTTTTCCTAACATTTCGCGATTCGATTAAAAGATCAGTGAAATCGAAATTTATGAGCACGTGCGATTTCATCGCTGAGATGTGTTGTCATTGTGTTAATTTTCAAGCACCACACACTAAAAACCGATCTTGAACACCACATTGATACCTAAATGTGGCGAACTCGATCGCCTCTATTGGAATTTTCTTTTTATTTAACTTGAGAAAAAGACGACATTAAAAAAGAGCCGATTTTTGTAAAAAAAAAAAAGTATAAGTAAAAGAAATAGTATTTTTTGTATATTTTGTATATTTTGATCTCCCCAAAAAGGTGTGAATAAAAGAAATAGTGATTTTTGTATATTTTGATCCTCTGGATATAATAAAGTTATTAAAAAAGTTCGTAATATTTGAACTTTGAAAATTGAGTAAGAACATTAAACTTTGGATAAATACATCATGTGCTCAATTTTCGAGACATTTTACAAACGCTACGAACTTTTTAGTAATTTTATCATATCCAGAAGATCAAAGTTTATAAAAAAGACAATATTTTTTTACTTAAATCTTTTTGGCCAAAGATCGGCTCTTTTTTAGTATTCTCCTTTGCGAAGTTTTATAAAAAATATAATGGTGAATTCGCACTACTCTGGATTAGTGCACATTAAAGGCTGCTTTATACAAAATCTCTAAATGGTATAATGTAATTGACTTTGTGTGATGAAATAATATGATATTATATGAAATGAAATATGTAATACTTATATATTTTGTTAAATAATGTGTGACATATCATTATTGAGTATTTATCATTTAATACTGGAACTGCTGACAGTGCCATTTTGACTCCGCTAAAATTTTTTTTTTTGCATTAGATACGCAATACAGAATATAAAAAATATGTGAATATAATACAAATAATTCTAACAATGCAAGTAAACCAAAATAAACTCTTTCCTAATAGAAAAGAAGGATAGGAAATTACCAAATTGGCCACTTTCGACAAGTTCTAGCAAAATCCCATTTAGCAGTTTTAGTTAAAATATTTATATGCTTTCACATATTTAACTTTACTAATTTCATGTGTAGCAACTTTTAGTTTGCACTAATCTATTGTAATGCAAGTGACCAAATTCGCTATTAAATATTGTATAGAAGAAGGTATAAGAAAGAGAAGAAGTATAATGGAAGGTTTTTAAGTAGACAAATAATTGATTTTTAATGCAAAATGTTTCGAAAATTTTAAGTCAAGAATACGACGGATTTCGAACTTACGACAGAGACGTAACAAAGTATTCTTTACAAAATTATGCTTTTCCGGATACATTTTCAATAAATGGATATTTTTTTCATCGGACTCCAAATGTGGTGTTCCAGCGTCAAATGAGAGCGTGGCGTCGATAGATAGAGCATGTTAAAGTACGAACGTAATACCGTTACGATTGCTAATTAGTTGATGTTACGAGTGTTGTTCACGCGCAATAATATACGCAATCGAGCGAATTATTTATCGAAATTGTGTTGCGTCTATTCGCGACGACGCCGATCCTCGATTCTGTATAATGCGATATATATTGCCGCTACTGCCGCACTATTCTCTCCGCGTGCGAGCGTAAAAAGGAAGGACGCGCACGCCCTACTCCGTGCATATGTTAAACATATGATATGGTACAAAAAAGGACAAATGTATTAGGTGACGTTTATTGAAAATTGAAGAGGAAATTATGAATTTTTATTACTGAAAAAAAAAAGACTGCGTTGGCTCCTTCATTTCTTGCATGTATACCCCGCATGTTCACCGGAGGAAAAAAAATATTATTAATACGCCCATCTTGACTTTCTCAAGTCGAATTTCGTGATGTATCATTTCGGATTCTATCAAGTGTAAATACCGACGTTACATCATTACGTGTAAATAGCAGATCGGAAGTAAATTATATCAGCAATAAATTATATCAATTTATATATTTATTATGTTATGTCGCTGCAATACTCTTTTTCCTAGCGAATCGTCAGTTTAGCACCACGGGTGTGTCATTGTATATTTACAGAAATTATGTCAAAAGCGAATATTTATTTTTTGCAGCGTGTATATTGAGATAAATTATTTTTCGCGTGATAACTTGATATTTGTGCTCTAACTTGTGCTCCACAATTTTATAATATATATTCTTTCTGGAGGATAATATATAGATATTCTTTTCGATTAGCGAAACAAAGCTATAAATTTTCATCAACTGCTCGCGAAAAAAGGTTGCAATCAACGCGTAAACTAAATACGATAACAAATAGATAATTACAAATAAATAAATACGATACTAAATAGATAACAAATTATACACTCATTAATTAAGATAAAAAATATATATTTTTTTTTATATATATTTAATATTTAGCGAAGAAAGAGAATTCTAATGCAGTCTAGTGTAGGAATAAAAAAACAGTATTATTTTTATGTTCGGAGAAGGGGAGGTCGGATCCCTAGATTCTCTTACGCTATACAAGCTAATTATGCAGTTTTAATCGTTCTAATTCAGGTTTGTCCATAAATCGATCAGTGTA